GATTTGGAGACCACGGGGAGGAACAGAGTAAAAGGGTAGGAATGCCTCGGTGTGTAGTTAGTAAGCTTCTGTTCTTGACACAATGGCATGAGAAGCCAAGCGTCACTCCTGGTTTCCTCCCATTGCATGTCAGGTACCAGTCCTGCAGCCTAGAGTGCAGCAAGAGCTGCAGCAGGTCTCTTGTTGTCAAAGCGAGACCCAGCAGCTGGAGGGTGCACTGAATGGGGCTGAGGGGCATCTCCATCTCTGGGGGTAGACTGTTTTCAGTGATCAGGCATTGAGCTATAATGAGCAAAAGGAGGCATGAAAGGATCTAGGTGAAATGCATGGCATTTTTCAATTTTAAAAAAAGATCACTGGCAGTATTTGTTTAATATTTTTAATATTCATTTCTTTAATCATTCTGTGACAGACTAGGCTTTTGTACATTTCTGGGAATCTGACTCCTTCCTGGTCTACTGCTCAGGCAGGCTCTAAGGTTTTTACAGAGACTGAGACATCTGCTGAACAAGAATCCACTTGTCCCTGTTGTGCAAACCAAGCGTGTCTGTGGAAGCAAACACTGCAGTTTGGTGAAATGTTAGTTTTTCAGTTACCATGCTGTCATGCTGACCATAGCCAGTTCTAACAGAGCTGCTTCTGGAGTAAGTACCTGAAAAGTATTATTTAGAGGGAAACAAGTGGTGATAGCACCTGTGAAGTTCAGTTTTCTTGCTGCAAAATTTGTGGCATCCATCCGCTACTGCTTTTTATCTCATGATCTGATCAGCACTTTGGGTGTAACACCAGATTAGCTGTCTGCAAACCCTTTGGGTCTCTCCTTTTACTGGGGCTGTTAATACTTTTTGTAATCAGGCTCAAATGGTCTCCTCATGTTGCTGCCTTATCTCTTAACTGCTTGAAATCCTTGCTTCGGCGTCTTTCAGCAAAAACAGGGAAGACAGAACTCTCATTTCTAAGCTACAGAAACTCATCAGAGACTCATTTGCTCACCCTTACCATCAAAAAAAATGCAAAAAGGGCATTTATATCACCATCTTCAGTAGGTCTGCATCCATCTAAGTGATGGCGCTTCGAGCAAGTTCCTGACAATTATTTGTGGTGCTGGTGAGTCCATTATTTGAGACCTCTTACCTTGCCCAATTTCAGCTGCAAAAAGAAAGGAAGGATACAAGAAGTTGTCAGTGTGTAAATGCCTTCTCTTGGCCACTGTGGCTTGATCCAGTCTGTGCTGAAGGTCTCGAAACAGTACTGTAGCTGAGTTAATAGCCATCATTTCATTCTGGGCCCTCCTTTCATCAGCCCACGCTGAACCAGACACGCTCCAGAGCTAATGGCAAGATGGGATAGGGCAGTCTTCCATGGAGGTGATGTTAATGTGTGCTGAGCATGCATGCAGGCAGGCTGGGGGGAGTGATTAATGCCCTGGGAATCCTCTCAGCCTTGCTGCACAATGCTGTTGTGTGAGGCCCGGAGCTTGGCAGCAGGCAGGCTGCAGTCGGGCGCCAGGAACACGTTACCTAGTTTGTGCAGGATCAGGCAGCGAGACAGAGAGCGTGTTCTCAGCGAGGCGAGCTCGCTGCTGCGCTGCAACTTCATACTTGCACAGTGAGGCTCTCTTTGGATGCGGGTCTGCTGCTAGGCGGGGGCAGGAGTCCTGCAATTCGCAGTCCTGACCTCCACCAGCAGTGAAGTCCCAGTGTTTGCTGAGTTGTGGAGGACCCCACCCTGCCTCCCTCCCCCTGGTAGGCAGGGATCACCCATCCTTGAGGTGAGAGGGGATGGTGCTTGGCCAGCCGTCTGGAGCTGTGACTCACTGGGGATGACAGGCGGAGCCCGGCTCTCCCTGCAATCTGCTCTTCCTGCTGGAGCCTCTGCTCGAGCTGTTGCTGAATGTTTTCACCAGGTCAAGGGTGGATCTGGGAGAAGCTCAGGTCCACCATTAAGCCTGAAATGTTGGAATCAGTAAGATTCTGGTCTGGAAGATGCTGGGAGGCTTCCTTCTCTAGGTGGGCATTTGGAGGAAACATTGGCAGGCAGCACTCCATGGAGTAAGACGAGGCCAAGGTCCTGGAAAACATAATATTTTGTGTTCAATTCATGTTATGTAGCAAACAAACCCCACTGCTGATTCACTGCTTTCGAATGCAGGGGCATACTGTCTAGACTCAGATGGAGTCAGGGAGTGATCCTGCTCTTCTTAATACTGGTGAGGGAACATGAGCTTATTGGGATTTTTTTTTTTTTGGCAGATTCAGAAGTTACTTCATGCTTTCTTACCTCATGGGCTGGCTCTCAGGGAAAGCTTTTCACATGAATATGTTAGTGCCCATGTTTTATTATAACTGCAATTAATATATACATGGTGGAACAATTGCAATCCTGCCTGCTCCTCTCAGTCTCACTGGAAAATTTTGTACGTTTTAATGAATGAGTGCCCAGAGCTGTAAGTGAGTTAAGGAAGTGGCACTGCTGTTTTCAGGGGCTGGATCTGAGCCCCGGGTAGCAGGAGGGCCGTAGCCTCAGCCCCAGTGACAGCAGCAAAGCCAGGGTTTGGGTCTGCAGCACACATGCTGCAATCCTTGCACTCCTCAGCCCACTCTTACGTTATACTTCTGACAGAAGAAGTGCCAGAAATCTCACTGTACCATCATGTGCTCCTGGAGAAACTACCCCAAGGCAGCAATTATGCCTGCAATATGTTTCCCCCCCCTCGTCCAGTGTGCCTGTGAAGTTTGCATATTCAGAGTGTGGCAAGGATTCCTAGGACCCTGAGCTCAGTCAGCAGCCTGTCTGTGGGCTGGAGGGCAGCCCCAGGTGCCTGCGAGGCGCTGCTGCTGCTGCTGCGCCTGTCGCTGCTGCTGTCCTGGTCCCATCAGAGCATGCAGCAGCATGTCCCAGCCACCCCACCTCAAACAGCGCAAGGCTCCTTTCTTGTCTTATTATTTCCAAGCTAATTGATGGCTCTTCCATCTTTTTCCCTGCTCCACATGGTCATGTTTTTAATACTGTTACTCCTTCTGCCTCAGTAGGTTCCTGCTACCCTGAACTGCAGCTCTTTGTGCTCCTGATTCACTCCAGTCCATTCATCTCTTTTTGGTGGCAAAGTGCTGTCGGCTGCTGGATATTGGGCTCTTTGTTTGTACAGCCAGCACAACGCTGGTGACAAAGGGACAGCCTGTGCCCCAAGGAGCCCACGTGCTATGGGGAAGGCAGCAGAGAGCAATAGGAGTGATGGACAGGACGGCAAAGGTGAGGGTGGCTGGGGGCCAGGGCACAGCACGCTGGCTTTAGTGGGAGTACGGCTGGGGGTGGGGAGGGACGTGCTGAGGAAGCTGTTCCTGCCGAGTACAAACCCGCTTTGTTCCCAGGAGGTGAGTCGGACTGGATAAACAGAGCGGTCCTGTCAGCAGAAAGCTTTTCCCTGGCTGGATCCCCCACTGGCGCTCTCGCTGGAAGTTGGCTACACCTCATCAGCAGAGATGTTTTTCTCCTTCTGTGTTAGCTTCCCCTCTTCCTGACTCTCCAGGGTTCAGGTGGGCTGTGCATGGCTGTATGGAGAAATGAGGACCCCTGGGGCCCTGTGTGTTCACTGTGGGTGGTGGTGTGTGTCGTCACCATGCTATTGCTGCTGTTAGCTAGGTGGGATGGTTTGACAAGCCATGCTGAGTACAGGACGGGTGTTGCTGGCTGGGTGGCGCTTCGAGGGTGACTGTTCACCGTGCACGTAGAGGCGCTTTGGGAGGGGAGAAGGTGGAGTCCCGTTTCAGGGAAGTTGTGTCTGACTGGACAGAGCAGGGACTCTGCTTGTGATGTGGGAGGAAAAACAGGCTGTGTCGGGGAGGGCTGGTGGGGAGGATGCTGATGTCCCAGCGTTGCCAGGTGTCGGCAGTGCCGTGCTCTGCCCGTAATTGCAGTGGGACAGGAAGGTGAAGGGAAGCACTCACTGGTCTGAGGTGCAGATGTTGAGGAGTAATCTTAGGGTTCCTGGTTGCCTTGGATGGATACACCTTTCAGTTCCCCTCTTGAGGGATCCGGGAAGAGGGGAAGGAGCAGCTGAAGCTGCAGGACTGCTGTTGCCTTGGTGCGGTGTATTGCCTTCCTGGTGAAGCTGCTTGGTGCAAAGCAAAGGTGATACAGCAAAGTGTCCTGGCTCAGCAGCCACTTTGAGAGGAAGGGGCAATCCATCTTTGCCTGCCTTCAGGTCCCCTGCCAGGGGGAATTTCAGCCTTGGTTCCCAGAGCCTTGGACAGGGTCTGCACCTTCATCTCTGCCTGACTTCTGCCAAGAACCATGGTGTGGCCTTCCCGGGGATGGCTGAGCCTGGTACCTAGAAGGCAGAAGGGGCATTTCCAGCCAGGTCTGAGGATGCCCAGCCTGGGTGAGCCCAGACAAGGACAGGAAGAGTTCACCGGTGGGGAAGAGGATGGTGAAGTGAGCTTGCCTGAATGAACTTTGTGTCTCTTCTCTTGCTGGGCAAAAGTGTGGCACTGCTCCAGCATGCGGTTCCTGTGGCCCTGAGCGGTGACATGGGGAGGGGGATGCCTGTGCCCATACTGCCAGAGCATGCATGGTGGGACCGTGCAAGTGAGTGGTGCTGTCTGCCTACCCTGGCGCTGGCGGGCTCAGAGCCCTGCCCTGCATGTCAGGGAAGCGCTGTCAGCTTCCTCCCCTCCCCTTGCTTCCTTCCTGACAGGAATTCACTTCCAATTTTCTTGCTGTTTCTCCCCCCATTGCAGCACAAACACGTGTCCCCACAGCCAGAGGGGCTGGACAAGGCAGGTTAGACCGTGAGACCCTTGGCTCCTGTGGCACGTTTCACACTGCAAGGGGTTTCAGGGAGCTCAGGACAGGATCCCTCGCACTGTTCATGCCTCTTGTGCTCAGCAACGGTTTTACTTTCTGAGCATATATGTGGTAATTTCAGGCGTTTCTGGCTGCTAACAAACTTCACTCTGTGTCTCAGCCTTAGGTACTGATCCACCTTCAGACCCCACACAATGGAGGCTGGTTCTGTGGTACGAGCAGTCTTTGATTTCTGTCCCAGCGTCTCTGAAGAGCTGCCCCTCTTCGTGGGAGATGTCATCGAGGTGCTGGCTGTGGTGGATGAGTTCTGGCTCCTCGGCAAGAAGGAAGGTGTGACAGGTAAGAGCTGGAAATGCTTGCACCTGGATCCATAGATGTGCCAGCTAAACATCCACTCCATAGCACACCTTCCCTTAGGCAGCACTATGCAAGACCAGATTCAATTTACTAAATCTTTCATGGGACTTTTCCTGCCACTGGTCTCCTGCCAGTTTTGTGTCAACTATTCAGACGGCTCATTTGTTGGTTTTTTTTGAGAGAGATTAGTGGAGGGTCAGTTCTCAAAGAGATGAGAGCTTCAAGAATACTAGTTGTTCCATCCTCTGTGGTGGGACAGCCCGTTTCCTGGCTAGTTTATGCACTGACCTGCTGTGGCAGTGGAAGGGGAGAGAGGAAACAGATGCACTGAGAGTGGAAATGCATCCACATCCAAGTGACCTTGTCAGGTCAAGTCAGTGGGAGATGCGGCTACAGAGTCTGTGTGTCCCTCTGAGCCCTCTGACTCAGCCTCACTTCCTCCTTTCCACTTTAAATAATTTTCCTGCACAAGCTTCCATCAATACCTGAGTGCCTGATGTAGTGTGCAAGGTTCTTAAACTTTCGGAGGAATGTGAGAAACTTCTGAAGCAGCAAAATGCTCTTAGTGAAACACTTAGAATCTCTTAGTCCCTGTTTAAGCAGCTCTTTCTCGTCTTAATACTGATGTTGAGAGAATGTGTGAGCTCTCAGGGAGATGAAAACCAGGCCACTTCAAAGCATAAGTCTGACTCTTTCTCCAGCATGAGGGTGGGAGTGGAGTTCCAACCCCAGCCATGGAGATGGGGCTGCTATTGCAGCAGCAGTCTGGGCTCTGCTAGCAGCCACAAGCTGTCTCCTGGCTAAAACAAAGATGGACAAGAGCAAAGGTGGAGAGGAGGACTTCTCTCCTGTGCCCCACGAGCTTATAAATGGTATTGAATGAATGCCTGCTTAATCCTGCTGCTGAAGTCACTGGGCACAAATTACTTCTGTGGAAATCACCAGTATCTACTTCACCACAGTTTTGTCTCCCATAACTGATGCGCTTGTTCTCAATGAAGCTAAGGAATAATAAACAGATGTGTGTCATAGCTCAAAGATAAAGAAACACACTGAAGTCAAACCAAATGTTTTTTAATGACTTTTAACTCAAAACCCACTTGCATTGCTGCTTTCCCTTGGGACAGCTGTTATAGTTTTCTGCCCAGTTTTCTAAGCTAAAGTTGTAGGGAATTGAAAAGGCACTTTTGAACAGAAGCTGTGGAGGTGCTGCAGCCTACCAATAATACTACTTAGTACTCCGTGGGGAGTAATTAATGTAGTTCCATGACTTCCTTTCTAACAGCATTAGGTTGTTTCCATGTACAGAGCAGGAAACTAAGACGTGGAAAAACAGGTAGAGTTGTTTAAAACTCTGAAGGAAGCCGCTGAGGCTCTAGCAGCCTATGGGCTGCTGGTTGCACCTCAGGTTAATGACAGCAGATGCCAAACTGCCTGAACGCAGTGCAGAATTCTGGGTGTCAGAATATGGTGTCTCCAGGTTTTATTGGAGAACCTGGATGCCATACTGGGTCATCAGGAGTGAATGCTGGAAGTCCTACTAGCCCATACTCCATCATATCCCCTTGCCACAAATTGTAAAAGGTAGGAATGACATTTTTAGTGGCCTTTGCAGTGGGCTCTGCCACATCCTGAGCTCCCAGCACTGAAATTAGAAGCTGAATAGTATTTTGTGGTGGCCAACAAGTGTGCACTGCCCTGTCTGGCTGTGGCCTGTTCAGAATAGCTGGGCATTCAGCAATGGGTGCCATGGTGAAATAGATGCACAGAGGTGATAAAGTGAAGAAGGTCCCTGGAGCCTCAGCAGCGCTGAAGCTGTGACAGAGCCTGTGACTTACAGACGTGGCCATCCCAAGTGTGGTGGCCTGACTTCTGTGCTGAGGCCGCACAGGGGCCAAGCCTTACAGGGTAAGGAGCACCAGGTGGATGTGCCCAGTCACAAGATACTGGTGTCATGGTCCTGCACTACTGGATCTCTCAGTCCTTATCATGACTCTGAACTGGGAAGCAAGCAGTGAAAGCAGAGAAAACCTGGTATGTCCGTTCCCAGAAACTCCATGCTGGTGGCACAGTCCCAGTAATGAACACAGCCTGTTGGTTGCCTGGAGTGAGCTGAGGGCACAAAGCTTTTTGTTCTCTGTTAGCTCTTAAGCATTTAAAACCTCAGGAATTCCTGACTCCCAAACTCGTTCCTCATTCAACATGCTACTGGAGCACCCTGGGTAGCTGGTTATTTTCCTTTAGCAAGAGATTAATAGATCCCAAAATCTGGAAGAAGAGTGGAGGGAGTGGTGATGGGCTACAGGAAATACCCATTGTTGACAACTGCTTCTCATTTTAGGGCAGTTTCCTAGCAGCTTTGTGGAACCTGTGGATATTCCCCCTTTGAAGCAGGGAGAAAAGCTGTTTGTTTGTACCAGTGACTTCACATCTCAAGAGCCAGGGAGCTTGTCATTGCAGAGAGGTAATCTTAATTCCCTTCCTTTGCTTTGCATCTCATAGCCCTCACCTGTCTTTCCAGAAGCATGAACCTAGTCACAGCATCCTGCCTAGAGTGGCAGGAGAGACAGGGCATTTACTAATACCTCATGATATGGGTCATGTCAAATCCACCTTTGGGCTTCTACCATTCTGAAACCAGCTTCTCATGATCTATCATTACTCTTGAAATTCCAAATATTGGAGTCATGTGATCATAGTAAACTTACAGCTGCCTTTTAACTACCCTCCAATCCCCAAATCGTAGGCTTGCATTTCATAGAATCATAGAATCAAAGAATGGTTTGGGTTGGAAGGGCCCTCAAAGATCATCTAGCTCCACCCCCCCTGCCATGGCAGGGACCCTTCCCACTAGACCAGGTTGCTCAAGGCTCCATCCAGCCTAGTCTTGAACACTTCTAGGGATGGAGCATCCACAACTTCCTTAGGCAACATGTTCCAGTGTTGCACCACCCTCAGGGTGAAGAACTTCTTCCTTGTATCTAGTCTAAACCTGCCCATTCCCAGCTTCCAGCCATCACCCTCATCCTATCACTGCAGGCCCTTGTAAAAAGTCCCTCCCCACCTTTCCTGTAGGCCGCCTTCAGGGACTGGAAGGCCGCTATAAGGTCTCCCCGGGGCCTTCTCTTTTCCATGCTCCCAACTCTCTCAGTCTGTCCTCATAGGAAAGGTGTTCCAACTCTCTGACCATCTTGGTAGCCCTCTTCTGAACTCTCTTCAACAGCTCCATGTCTTTCTTGTGCTGGGGGCTCCAGAGGTGGACGCAGTATTCCAGGTGGGGTCTCACAAGGGCAGAGAGAGATTTGGGGGAGAAATCAAAGCTTTGGTGTACCTTCATAGCTTAGCAGCCAAAACTGTGTATCTTAGATATGTGTGTGCAAGAGGCTGCCAATTCTTTGTGGCTTACCTCCATTCTGTGTTCTCGTGCATCCCCAGCATGCGCTGCGCTCTGTGCAGAGTGTCAGGCCTTACCCACAGCCAGGAAGGGCACGGGGAGGCAGGAATAATAGGTGGGAAGCAATCATGAGGGCAGTTTTAAACTGATGTGTCTCATTCCCTGCAGGAGACCTGGTGATCCTGGGGGGGTCGCTGGCCTCCAGCTGGCTCCAGGGCCGAAGCAGCTGGGGTTCCAAGGGCTTTTTCCCCTCATCATGTGTGCGGGAGTTGTGCCTTTCAGTTCGGAGCCATCAGCTGTCCCAGAGCGCTCTCCTGGAGGTGCCTGCCTACTCACTGGGCCAAGCCCGGGCCTTGATGGACTTGTCTGCTCAGCTGGAGGAGGAACTGGACTTCAGGGAAGGGGATGTGATCAACATTGTTGGTGTCCCAGAGCCTGGCTGGTTTGAAGGCGAGCTCAGAGGCCACAGGGGCATCTTCCCAGAGGGTTTTGTGGAACTGCTTACTCCTCTGCGAGCATCAGAAAGCTCAGTGGATCCAGAGCCCACAGGGACTCATGACACCAATGGGACAGTGGAGATGCCCCCCAAGGAGGAGGAGGAGGAGGAGGAGCCAGGAAGCACTTACGGTGTTGCCCTCTATCAGTTCCAAGCCCTGGAGTCCAAGGAACTGGATTTTGATGTGGGTGACAGGATTCGGATCATAGGCATTCTGGAGGATGGCTGGCTGGAGGGTGAGCTGAGGGGGAAATGCGGCATCTTTCCACACAGATTTGTGAGGCTGGAAGCCTCTGAGGCTTGCAGGGAAAAGGTAGGTGCTGGGGATCCTCAAGGTAGAGGCAGCTGTGTAGTGACCATCAATCAAGACCCAGAAAGCACCTGCTCCGAAGCTCTTCCTTTGCCAGGGAAAGATGGCAGGGAGAAGGAGGATGGCTTAGCTGCACACCCTGGGCCTGACACCATTTTGTCTCATACGGTGGGGAGAACAGAGGGTCATCTTGGCACAGATTTGAAGTGGCAGGCCTTTCCTGGCACAGGACACCAAGGGCCACATCCCAAAGGCACAGTGGACTCCCTCCCCTTTGACCGCACAAAGACAGTCAACGGCCTTCTCCCTTCTGCTCAGCTGCCTCCCCAACAGGGCAACAGACCTGGTCAAGCAGGTGATTTGGAGCCTGGGGGGGCCATTTCAGCCTCCCCAGGCAACTCAGAAACTCACACCTTGCCCGAGCATGATGGAGACAGTCCCACTGTGCCCCTGCAGGCTCCACACTCCCCCCAAGATCCTTGCAGAAGCCAGACAATTTCTTCTCCTAACAGCTGGGCAGCATCCGAGCCTCAGGAGAGCCAGAGCAGCACCCAGGACCTGGATAGTTGTGTGGACAGTCAACAGGAGAAGTCCAAACCTTGTTCCTCTGGCCTGGGAGGTGCCCAGGTGGGCCTGGACACATGGGTTGGAAGCTGGGGGGAATGCTGCCCACTTGCAGCACAAGGGGACGGCTGCACGGACCTTGACTCCAAACTGACAGAGCAGCTGGTGCAGTTTGAGAAAAGTCTGTCAAGTACCGGCGCTGAGCAGGACAAGGTCTCCCGCCACTTCTCTATCTTGGACTACAGCTCTGAGAAGGACATTGTCCGTGGCTCTCCTGAGTGTGCCCCGCATGCCAGGCAGCCAGAGAGGAGAAAGGCCCTGAGGCCACCCCCTCCTCGGCCCAGCAGCCTTGCGACAACCCCTGTGCACGCGCTGGGTGGCCAGGTGCCCAAAGGCAGGTCTCTGTCCTTCTCGGTTAAGCCCTCCCGGCCTGCACCCCGGCCTCCATCAAGCAACCAGCGGAAAAATGTGGCCTCTGTGCAGCTTCAGCCCAGCAGCCAGGAGCAGCGAGTGGAGGAAGGACGTGAGAACTTGACACGGGCAGGATCAGCTTCCCCCCACTCCATTCTGCTGACAAGGATTGGAGAGGTGGAGCGAGACCTGGAGGCTTACGGCAAGACCCGCACTGAGCTAAGCCTGATGCTGGAGGAGCAGCAGGATGAGCTGGTGAGAGCAGAGACGCTGGAAAACCTTGATTTCTGTGACTCCAACATCGAGAGCCTCAGTGTGGAGCTGCAGGAGCTGAGAGGTGAGTCTGCAGTGGCATGGGATGGGGGTGCTTCAGGGGGACAGCTGGCCCCTGCTGCGTACAGGCACTGTTGGAGCCACTCTTTTATTTCCTTCTTTAATTCCTGATTGTGGTTGTTTTGTAAGTGTTGTGGCAGTACAAATCATGATGATTTGGCCTTGGAGAAACAGTGTTGTTCTCTGAACATCCCTCAGCCCTGGCCTTCCCCACCCCCTTTTCCTTCCAACTCTCCCATCTCCTCTTCCAGCCCCACCATACATCCAGAGCCCTCATCTGGTCCATTCCCACTGTGTCCTTGCTCTCAGGCGAAAACACAGCTGCTGTAGGTTCAACCTTCCTGCCTCATCCCCTCTTAGCTTCAGAGTGCCTTTGCTGGTGGTCCTGCAGTTGAGATTTGAGTTGATGTCTGTGGCGTGACTGCCCTCAGCGTCTGGGTGTCCTGCGATTTCTGCTTTGCTGGTGATACAGACCTTTGGGGACTTGTCACTCAAATCAGAGGGAATGCACAGAAGGGCGCTGAACCTGGCCTGGGAGTGGGATGGGTTAGTGGGCAAAAAGTACAGCCTGCCCCTGTGCTCATGCCGTCCGTGGAGTCCAGAATTTCAGGACAGGAAAATGACACTGCACTGTCGGTAACAGCAACAAAAGGCTTTAAATTGCGGCATGTCTGTAGCCAAAAAGATGACTTTTGTCCTTGCAGTCCAGAAAAATTACTCAGGGAGGAAAAATTTGCCCTTTTTATATCAGCACATTTGGGCTCCGAAACCCAAAGATGCCATATAAAGATCAGTACTGTTGATTACATTATATTTGATATTACAGTAGACAAACGGGAAAGTCAGGACCACATACATCTCTCACAGTCCCTTCCTCAGCTTCTCCCAGGAGCTCTGACACTGCAGTTCTGATACTGAAACCCACGATGTGCAGGAAATGTGGGCACTGCACGCGGGAGGTGGAGTGAAATGCCAGCTCCTGCCTGGGAATTACTCACTCTGACTTCATTGCCTCCATCCTCCCACTGCTTAATCAGCGCTGGGGAGCCCAGGCACTTTGCTGCAGGATCGTGTCTGATGCAGAGCACATGGGAACGAAGGCTGATACGGGTGCACGGGGGAAACACAGTGATGAACAGCCTCCACATCAGTGGTGTGCAAGAGGGATGCTTGGAAGGAGGCTTAGAGGATTTGAGGCTAGATGAAATAACTTGAAGGTAGGAAGAGGAAAATCTAGGCTGGATCTCAAGGGAAATTTTCTGATGGGATGGATCTTGCTGGGAAATGTCTCCTACTCTCCCAGTGCTTCCTGACAGAGGACGGATCTTGCAGAACCCGTGCTTTGTTGATTACTGGAACTGGAAATTTTAGGCAGGAACCAATGCACTAACCCATCAAGTTATGCCCTTGGTAGTCCTAGGGGATTTTTCACCACTCCAAGAGACCTGAGGATTTATAAGTAGTCTCTCTGATCCTATGATTAAGATGTGCCCTACCCGTGCTCTGTTGCATCCCTCCTGCTATATCTGAGTGTGGCCAGAGAGCATGTCTCAGGCTTGCTAGCCCAGCTTTAGTGCAGTGGGCCAGATCAGTAATGTGGTGTTCCATCAGCTCAGCAAAACACGTTTGCAGCATGCCTCAGGCATGGCCTCTGCCTTGCTGCCATTAAGGGCACATGGAAGCATGCTGGAGGGAGAAAAGCTTTCCCTAAGCATTGCCCAGCAAACAAATAAGGGCTGGCATCATCTTGGGGGAACCCAGCCCTTTGTTGTGTCCTTTGGGGAGCCAAAGGAAGAGCAGAAAGTATGTGGTTTTCTAAAATACATGTTTAAAATTTGCAGGCTGCTTCTTTGGCATGTCTTGGGTGCACACAGCTGATCACCAGGCTTGGGCAGGATTAATGCTTGCCCTCCTGTAGTTGGAGTAGGAGGGTCCATTGGTTTTATTTTTGTCTTCTACCAGCTGGGAATGTTGGCCGTGCATACCTGTGTTACAAGAACCTGAGACGTGGATGACATCCACCAACTCCTGGTTTCCATCTAGGTTATGTTGTGTCCATCTCTTGGTTTCTTATAGAAGCTCCTGCATTTGGCATGGGAATATGTTGTGCTTTGCAGTGAGAGGAATTACTGGAGTGCATGTTTCTGTAGCCTCCTGGAAACCTTTATTGTGTGTTGGCACTGAACTCTATAACCCAGATAGTCCCTTCAAGCCTGTTGCTATCAGCAGGGGGACCAGCCATTTGTCCTGAAGCAGGGAACTGGGCAGCTGTGGCTGCATGGCACTGGATTGGCACTGCTTGGGGATGTTCTGTCATGCAGGGAGCTGCTCCTCTCCTGCTCTTCCCAGGACCTGTGGGTGAGGGCTGGGAAAAGGATGAGCTCGGCAGCAGGTTTGAGCCAGGGGCAGCCTGAAGGCCTCAGTTTCCTCCATGAGGTGTGGAGCAGAGCCCAGCCTCTGCTAGACCACATCGTTTCACCTCCATGCTGGCAGGAGCATGAAGGCAATGGAAGGAGATCTGGTATCCCATCTCTGGTTTGTGGCTTCCTGCAGTCTCACATGCAGTCTGTTTCCCTTCCCTGAGGACACTGGTCTTGGGGCAGGGCCTCTGCATGCTCCAGTGCTCTCCTTTTCCCTGCCTCTGAGACACCTGCAGAGAGGCTTTGGCAAAGCCGTGGAGCCGGTTTGGGCGGTGAGAGCCTGCCCAGCCCCAGCCTCCCTCCTCGGGGCTGGTTACTGATTACTTTGGGCAGCAGGTGGAGGAGGCCGGGGCTGGCAGCGATTGGGCCCGCACCTCTTCATTCCCTTGCTGGCTGGTTTCAGGAAGCGACGCCTGCGTTTCACTTGGGACAGGAGTGCTGGAGCAGAGCGGAGAGGCGGCATCAGCCCAGGCTTGGGCTCGGGGAGCAGGTAGCAAAGGAAATCAGCAGCTGAGCCACAGCCGGGCAGGACTATGCGCACTTATCCCGGGATGGAACACGGTGTGGAGGATCTGAGGCCGGAGCCGCGGCTCCTCGACTGGGAATATGAGGACTGTTGTGCCGTGCGGAGAGAGGACGTGGCTGGGGTGGCCATGCTGCGCGGTGAGGCTCGCAATGATAGACCCAGGGCAAGGAGGCAGTACCCGGGCTGCCGGGGAGCAGACAGCAGCCAGGACAGTTACAGGAGAGGGAAGGGCATCTCCGTGGATGGACGGAACATGAATGGAGACTCTGGAGTTTTTTGGAAGGGAGATACCCAGTACGCAGAGTGCAGGAGAGCAGACGGTGCTTGGGAAGGCAAAAGCCAGGATACAGAGGGTAGAAACTACAGGGTGTATGAGAGGGAGGGTGTTCAATACAGAGACTGCAGTTCTGAGATAAGAGAAGGGTGGTACAGAGAGGACAGAGTACCTGGGCAGTATAGGGAGGGGGGAAGGCAGTATGGAGAGGATAGAAGCCCGGGAGACTATAGGGAGGGGCGAAGATGGTATCAGGAGGATCCTAGGGGCTACAGTGAGGGTGAAAGACATTATAGGGAAAAGGAAAGGTGGTACAGGCAGCAGAGGCACTCTGGGGAGTACAGGGAGGGGAGAAGGCAGTATAGAGAAGATGGAGGCAATCAAGTACATAGGGAAGGGGAAAAGTGGTATAGAGAGGATGGAGGCTCTGGGGCATACAGAGAGCAGGAAAAGCGGCATATAGGTGTCAGGTACCAAGAAGACCGAGAAGACTTTGAGCGGCCCAGGCAGCCCAAAAGCCATGTCATGGACCGCAGCAGTCTGGACAGAGGTTGTGAAGCTGCTGCATTTGCTATCTGGTCCTCAGGAGATGGTAGCGTGAGCCTGGGGTCAGGCACATGCTATGCACAGTCCAAGATACAGGACGTGGACTACGATGGCTGTGGGGAGCTGGAAGGAGCAGCCCCAGGGCCCAGGATGCCAGCCAGGAGCAGCGGCAGAGCAGAGCGCTCAAGGGTACGCACAGGCCGGCCGGACTGGAGCCTGGTCTGGGAGCAGGAGACCGAGGAAGCAAACAGGGTGGGCTCCGTGCTGCAGCGAAACAGCTTCTACAGACGGACGGCTCCCAGTGCCCTGCGGCACTCAGAGTTTGTGCAGACCAGGAAGGAGAAGCGAGGTACGTGGGGAAATGCTGGGCCTCAGGTGTGCCTTCGCCCTGCCCTGGCACCAGGGCAGCACCGGGAGTCTGGCACAGGGGGGTGGCCAGCACAGCCGGGCTCTTGTGGGAAATCCTGGAGCTTGCTGAAATGGGCATCATCATCATTACCCCTCTGCATAGTCGCCTACATGTCCTGCAAGGGGTCTTGCCCCCATTTCGTAGAGGTCCAGGTGGGAGGGAAGCCCAGGCAGCAGAGATCCACAGCTCCCTGCTGTCCTTTTGATTGCTGCTCCATCTGTGTCCCGAGTTTTGGGTACACCCTAAAACCTGTGGCCCTGATTTGTCTGCTGTCTCAGGGCCCCAGAGAGGTTTCTTATAGGGGAAACGGTGAGGTATTTGGGTTATTCCCACTGCCTGTTTTATTTTCATAACTCATCATGAACAGATTCTGTGTGTAGGAACCAATTCCTGACCCTGCGGAGGGCAAGTATGGCAGCTGTTCGCAGGCAGCACAAAGGACATAGGGAAGTTGTTGGAGCAGTCAAGACGTACGTGCAGGGCAAGTGCTTGTAGTTGCATGATTGCACATGGGCATCTGTGCATCGGGGGGCTGTCGCTGGTGGGAATGGTACCTCCCACGTCACCAGCGCCTCGGTACCACAGTGGTCCACTTGCCAGTGCTACAGCAGTTGTGTGCTCTGTGTCCTGGGTCCCTGCAATATCCCTGGATCTCCAGTCCCATCAACTAGCACCCTGGAGCTGGGGAGATACCAAAGCTGGAGGGCTTGAGCTGTCTTGGCATGGGCAGAATCGTCCCATTGATGCTGTGACTGGGACAGAGTTGGCTGCAGACAGTTTTGTGGGGCTTGGTTTGCACAATGGTAGGAGTTGGAAGGGACCTCTGGAGATCATGTAGTTTTTTGCAAGAATTAGTGTGTGTTGGGGAAGGGGCAGCAAGGTGGGTCTGGGCAGAGGGACTGAAGGAGCCCTTCTTGGTGGACTGGCCTCCCTGTTGGGCAGCCAAGTGTCTGAAAACCTGTTTGCTCCTGCACCTTTTCTGCCAGCATCTGTCTTGGGCACCTGTGTGTGAACTCTCAGTAAAGGAGGATTGAAACACAGAGCAAAACACCACTGCAGTTCAGCGGCCAAAGAGGTGGCAGAGCTGGAGGCTGCAGCTGCCATGAAATCTGTCCTCTGGAGGTATTTGATTAAGCAGACTCCGCCGGCTGCATTTCTGCACTCTCAGGCTGCCCTGGTAGAGTGGGACTTTGCTCAGCTCTGTCCCCAGGGTGAGGGAAGGGAGAGGCTTTGCGGTGCCAGGGCGTCCAAAGGGCAGAAGGGAAGCTAGGAGGAGCCAGGAGCACAGTGGGGAGGGAAACGGCCTACAAAGCCTTAGGAGGCTGGAGCAGTGCTGGCCTGGCCAGCTTTTGCAAGAGTTAGGGGAACAGACTGCGATGCCAGGTGAGAGCCTTCACTCCTCTGATATTAAATGTGATGCTACGTGCACCCATGCTTGTGCTGGGAGAGGGCGTTCGACTTTTTTCCCACTGTGGCAGGCTCAGGGGCAGGGGATCAGCTGCGGGAGGTGCAGGGCGGGATCCCCTCAACATCAGTGCTGGTGTCCCACAGCAGGAAGGGGAGGAGGAAGGCTCCACATGTTTTGTAACACTGTCCATGCTGTGGCCTGTTTCTGGCTGCCGTTCCCTGATGTTGCTCCTCCTGGGCACAGTGCTGCACCAGCAATAGCCCTCCTTGGCAAATAGGCTTTGCTGCCATAGCTGCCTCAATGTAAGACCTTGCCAGCACCAGCACCTCTTTGCTGCCTCAGTGTAAGACCTCACCAGTGTCTGGGAGCCTCCCCAAAAGCCCTCCCATCGTGCTTGGCAGCAGACATCCTCCTGCCCAGCTGGTAGGAAAAAGTCAGCTCTGTTTTTCCCTCTGTGCGTGCTTCAGGCATCTTTTCTAATGCTGTCTACTTCTCTCCCAAGTACCTCCTCCTGTCCACAGAGTAACAGAATTTAGGACTTTAAAACACTGGTAGGAATGACATGGCCTGATCTTTTCCATAAGCAGGGTTATTACACTTCTTACAGATTTCTCTGCGGTGCAGCCGGTGACAGTTACTTGGTTAGAGCATCTCTTCTGGGGTGAGATTCAGATGTGTCTGACTGCCACATCAACAAGCAAACCCACCTGTCACAGCTTTGCTGCTTAGTCACCATCACTGTTACGTGTTTTGCATACTAATGTGTTGCATTTCAGCTCTGAACCCCAACCTTCTTCTACTAAATTAGAGTTTTTTAGTTCATGGTATTTTCTTCTTATGCGGGTACTGTAATTAAGTAATTTTTCAGTCTTTGGTTCTTTGTAGTGAACAGAGTCTTAAAATACTCCTAGCAAAGACTCAGAGGAAGACCTTTCAGTGTTTGTTTTTCCTGTCCTCACTCTTTTTTGTTCAGGCTCTTTTAAAATAGTGGACTTCAGAGCTTCATGAGGCATTCTGGGTAGGTGTCAGCACTTGCTTGTACAGTGGTATACCTCACTGCACTCCTGTGCCCTTGTCTGAGGACCACAGTCTGCCTCTGCAGCGCTCGCGGAATTCCTGCTGCATTTTGGACAAAGCATTACACCCCAGAATACAGCCCTGCATGTGGCTGCATTTCTTGTCCCCATTAATACATGGGGACAGGGATTCATCTGCGTTAAACCTGCTTGGTTTGAATAATTCCATCTTATTCAGAATACCTTGGGTGCCTCATCTTTATTTGTTGAATTGATGTTCATTTTTCTGCATGACAGCAGTGATTTTCCGTTTACTTTAAAAATATTATAGAGGATCAACTCAAAATACAGGCCTTGGAGAATCTGATTAGGCATAACTTCTTTTCTGGATATTCTGCACTGGCAATGGGTTTTTGAGGTGCCTGTTTGCAAGGTCTTATTTCTGCTGTTTAGATGGAAAGAAACAATATTTGTTGTATAATTCTGCGTTTTCGCCAAATTTACAATGAATATTCCTATCTCTGCTTACTTGTGATATTGCATCATTGAAAGGGTTTCTTTTGTCCTGGATGGCAATAAAATTCTGTTACAAAGTAGCATTTCATTTCCTCATTTAAAAAATAAAAAATGGATTCTGAATTCTGCCATTCATGGATTCTTTTCATGATATCTTTCTTTTCTCATTTTTCTGAACTTCAGAGTTCCCAGTGTGTCTGTTGTCTATTACCTGGTGTTCTGTTTTCATTCATTTATTTTTTTATATTTGCTGCCTTTATTGAAGCACAGACCCAGGACAGATTTTTCATCAATATTGT